ATTGTTTTTGAGTACCATTTATCAGAGATGAAATATTCTGTCTGATTTAGTTGAAGTATGTCATAGCTATTACATTTATTCTTGTTCTCTGCATAGTTTTATGCAGGAGCATGAAAATAAGTACCAGAGTAAACATTACACTGTTTCACACAGTGTTTCCTGTATACGTAGTTTCTAGTCGACTATTGACACAGATTTTTCTACTTCAGATACCTGCACCCATAATGAATGTTACAAATAGGGTTATTGTTTTTTTTTTGTTGTTGTTACTATGGATGTTATAGAGTTATGGAAGAGTAATCAAAGAATATTTGTCCTAGAAAGTTTGGCCGACTTTCATGTAAATAGTAAAATGTTAGAACTAAACTGTTGGTCCAGTAGATGGCACTCTTAGTTCTTGGACCCCAAAGTTCGTAAATTGATGACTGTTCCTATTCACTGGTTACAGATCATAACAGAATCCATGCCACTGATGTTTTACATGCTGTTTGGTATCTTACTACACAGCCTATTCCAGGCCTTTCAACTGTGATTAGTGATCATGGTTCAACCAGTGATTCAGGTATGTACAAAGTGAATCTGCACTGCCTTATGTGAGAGGTGGGAACAAGGGTGTTTTTTTCAAAAAAAAGAAAGTCAAGACAAATGATGTCAGTTTAATACTTTTAAAAAAATTTCTTTGACTCTCGTTTTCTCTTCTCAGATTCTGACAGTGGATTTACACATGGACATATGGGATATGTATTCTCAAAAACGTATAATGTGACAGATGATAAATACGGATGTCTGTCTGGGAATATCCCTGCCTTAGAGTTGATGGCTCTGTATGTGGCTGCAGCCATGCACGATTATGATCACCCAGGAAGGACTAATGCTTTCCTGGTTGCAACTAGTGCTCCTCAGGTAAATCTTTAGATTTTGGTTAGGAGAACTAATTTAAAGATTTCTCAAGAAAGTGAAGTTGAGTGTGATTTATAATAGGCCCCAAGTTAATATAAGCCAAACTATATACAGTCTCATGTTAAAATTCTTAGAGACCATGCTGATTCTGAAAAGAAACCATGGATTCTTCCAAGATTCTAATAGCAGGTATACAACTTTATTATCCGTGGGAATCATTTCTCAGTTTTCTTCCTAGGAAGAAAACCTACTTGAATTCATGTTAACGGGCCTCTTCAACAAACAAAAGGCAACCTATACAAAAGCCCCTTTCTGAAAAGATTAGAGAGCCAAGTATTTCTTGGACTTTTAAGAATGTAAGGTTTCTTTGTATATAAATACCATTCCTTTGAAATATATTCATTATAACAATTATGATTCTTATGACATATCTATAGGTTGGTAGGATTTTAACATCAATTTATTTCATTGGAGGAATTTTTTTTTTTTTTTTTGGCCTAAACATAGATTCCAAAAACAGTGAATACATTTAAAGCAGCACACCAACATGGCACAAGTATACATATGTAACAAACCTGCACGCTATGCACATGTACCCTAGAACTTAAAGTATAATAATAATAAAAAAAAGATTAAAAAAATAAAATAAAATAAAATAAAATATTCCTTTCAAAAAAAAAAGTTCATCTTGGTGTATAATTCTATCTAAGTAAAAAATTCATCACTGAGTATCTAGACATACCCATTTATACAATCAAATTTAGCCCCTAATGTATTTAATTAGCTGAACCCAAGTTACTAAACATTCTGAGATCCTCTGTTCTTCTACAAGATCTAGAGGTCAGTTTCATTCGATATTGACTTTTCTGTTTTCTTCTTTGCCCCTTATGTTCTATTCCACTGCTTTCCATTTCCGTAGCTGATCTTATGGACTGTTCTATAGTTTTTCTTGAATCTATATACAATAAAAATTATCTGGTAATTTTTTTCTTGACTGTCTACCTTCTTTCCACTTGTCTTTCATACACCAAAATTGTTTTTTCTAAATATAGGCAAAAATCCACTGGCCAGGATAATTTACCATTCAGATTTTTTTACACATCTACATTTTTATATACCTCTATATTAATATTCAGTGCTTAGTGTCTTCTTTGTGTCCTATGTCTTTTTATTTCTCCATAGGCTATCTTGCACACTAGTGTTCAGGCATTTTGTAGGCAGCTTCCCTTTTAAAAAAAATTCTCTAATAAAACTTCTCTCTGCATTATTAGAGAATTTCAAACAAGTAAGTGTCATTTTATGTCTTCCAATACTAGATAAAAGGTGATATTTCCTGTGGAGTGGAGTGAGAATGTTTTAAATCATGAGCATTTGGGGGATTCCATTCATCTTTAATAGCTATATGTGTTTAAGAAGAGGTAATGCTTATACCAAATATAGAAAGTAACCTAGTTACCTCTTGCGGTATTGTAGCATTGGTATAATTACATATTTTATATATGTATATATATATTTACATATATATACAAATGTAATTTTTTCTTCCTCCCTCGTCTTTATTTGTATATATTTTTTATGTTTAAATTCCTGTACCTTACAAAGAAATCTAGAGAAAAAATCTTTAAAAAAAATCTATTAAGACAGGCTAGTGTCCCCTCACAAGAGTTTGGACTAAGTTTTCAAGGAAATGAATTTATTTTACGAAAAAGGTAAATTTAATCAAGAAAAATAATACCCATTGTACAGTAATAACTGATTCTTTTTTTTTTTTTTTTTTTTTTTTTTTTGAGGCGGAGTTTCGCTCTGTCGCCCAGGCTGGAGTGCAGTGGCCGGATCTCAGCTCACTGCAAGCTCCGCCTCCCGGGTTCACGCCATTCTCCTGCCTCAGCCTCCCGAGTAGCTGGGACTACAGGCGCCTGCCACCTCGCCCGGCTAGATTTTTGTATTTTTTAGTAGAGACGGGGTTTCACCGGGTTAGCCAGGATGGTCTTGATCTCCTGACCTCGTGATCCGCCCGTCTCGGCCTCCCAAAGTGCTGGGATTACAGGCTTGAGCCACCGCGCCCGGCCATAACTGATTCTTAATAAGCAGGAGTCACATGATTACATTTCTTTGTTGTATGAATAGAAAGCAATTTCAAACGCATTGCATATGCTCATGATTTTGTGATTTTTTTCTTAAAAAGTTGAACTCTTAACTCTCTTATTTTCCTAGGCGGTGCTATATAACGATCGTTCAGTTTTGGAGAATCATCACGCAGCTGCTGCATGGAATCTTTTCATGTCCCGGCCAGAGTATAACTTCTTAGTTAACCTTGACCATGTGGAATTTAAGCATTTCCGTTTCCTTGTCATTGAAGCAATTTTGGCCACTGACCTGAAGAAACACTTTGACTTCGTAGCCAAATTTAATGGCAAGGTAAATAGAGCTGTACCAGTCTTTTTTTTTTTTTTTTTTTTTTTTTTTTTTTTTGAGACAGAGTCTTGCTCTGTTGCCCGGGCTGGAGTGCAGTGGCACAAACTTGGCTCACTGCAACCTCCGCCTCCTGGGTTCAAGCGATTCTCCTGCCTCAGCCTGCCGAGTAGCTGGGATTACAGGCTCATGCCACCACACCTGGCTAATTTTTTTTTTTTTTTTTCCAGTGGAGATAGAGTTCCACCATGTTGGCCAGGCTGGTCTCAAACTCCTGACCTCGTGATCTGCCTGCCTGGGCCTCCCAAAGTGCTCAGATTACAGGCGTGAGGCACTGTGCCTGGCCACACCAGTCTTCATTTTATAGACATATTGAAAGATATCATGGAAGTAAACTGTTGAACAAAACATGTTACTATCAACTCTCATATGTCAAATGTGAAAATGGAATACAATAAAATGTTTAACCAGAAGCAGACATATAGGTGTTGATCTGAATCTAGATGCCCAAGAAGCTGAGATGCTGTCTCTATGGATTATGCTTTGTACCACAGAGAAATAACACATTCTGTCATTGTGGTTTTTTATTGATTTAATTTGTTCTCATCTCTATGGTATATTTATATAAATTATCTGGCAGCAGTACAGATCAAAATCTTGAAGCACAATTTTATGCCTCAAAAGTAAATGCCCAAATATTAAGTTATGACAATTTTTTATGCACTGTAACTATATTATTTTAATAGTCATTGATAATAAGGCCAAGTGCAATGGCTCACGCCTGTCATCGCAACACTTTGGGAGGCCAGGGTGGGTGGATCATTTGAGGCCAGGAGTTCGAGACCAGTCTGGCTAATATGGCAAAACACCATCCCTACTGAAAGTACAAAAATTGGCCAGGTGTGGTGGTGCACACCTGTAGTCCTACCTACTTGGTGGGCTGAGGCAGGAAGATGGCTTGAAGCCAGGAGGTGGAGATTGTAGTGAGCCAAGACTGCACCACAACACTCCAGCCTGAGAGACAGAGCAAGACTCTGTCTCAAAAAAAGAAAAGAAAAGTAATTGATTATATATGCCAGTTTTAAAAAGCATTTGTTGCTAATTCAATAATTAATGATTTTTTAAATTTTCATTTTTGTAGGTACATAGTAGGTGTATATATTTATGGGTTACATTAATTCATATAATGTGTAATAATCAAAACAGAGTAAATGGGGTATCTGTCACCTCAAATATTTATCCATTGTGTTACAAACAATCCAATTACACTCTTTTAGTTATTTTAAAATGTATAATTAAATTATTTTTGACTACACTCACCCTGTCACCCATTATTATTATTTTATCCATAATTCATTATTTTACTTTTTCATGAACTTTTTTTTACGATTAATTTACACAGGCCAATAACATTTTTAAATAGCTAGAGGTTCCCAATTATTTGGTATTATGATCCCTGTATAATATGAAGACAATAAATGTTCTATTCTTTTCTGTTCAACTTTTGTTTTTATCAAAGCAAAACGTATTTTAACTTTGCCTCTCAAATAGGTAAATGATGATGTTGGAATAGATTGGACCAATGAAAATGATCGTCTACTGGTTTGTCAAATGTGTATAAAGTTGGCTGATATCAATGGTCCAGCTAAATGTAAAGAACTCCATCTTCAGTGGACAGATGGTATTGTCAATGAATTTTATGAACAGGTAACTGACAACTGTTTAATATAGCTAATCTATACTTACAGGTTGCTCATGAATTGCTGAAAGCTTCTAACGGCTATGAAAGTATGATCACTCTATTTTATATTCATATTTTTATCAGAAAATGCACTGGTCAATTTTGATCAGGAGATAAAAAGTGACATGTGTAAAAATTGGACTAAAATATAATGGTAGAACTCTATGATAAAGTTATTTGCAAGCATTTGGGGGGAAGAAGGTACTGAGATAGTGGAAGTCAGACGTTAGGAAGATCTTTGAAATACTGCTGTTTTACAGATGTATTTATTATCACAGAAGGTAGTTTAAATGTATATGGAGTAGCTTATATGTATATGGTAGTTTAAATGTATATGCATATCACATTAATTTCACTTACTTTCCTAAAAAATTATTTATTATCATAGAAGGTAGTTTAAACATATATGGAATAGTTTATATGTATATGTATATGGTAGTTCAAATGTATCTGCATATTAGATTAACTTCACTTTTGTAAAAAAAAATAACAGCATTATATGAAAAAGCTAAAAAGAAATAGGCTTTTCATTTGACATGATAATGTGAGAGTTAACAGACTACTCAAAAAACTACCACAATTACATAAGCCAGGGTTGATCCTTCTGACATTAGCCTACACCAATCAGAATGCACTTGAACCTTCCTGTTTGGTACTGTGAACCACTCTTAAAAATAATGTGGAGGTGAAAGAGCATGCATAAACGACAGGAATAAGTGACAGAAAAACACGTGAAAAAAATGAAGATATTTACTCTTGGGGAAATATAACTGTTTTCAGATATTTAAAGGAGTGACATACTAATTTAGAAATAGGTTAATCGTAACATTGCTGTGGAGATTAAAGAAGATAAATTATGTAACATACTTAGCACAGGATCTGATTCATAAAAAAAGTTAGATCCCTCTCTACTGCCCTAAAAAAGGTATGAATATACCAGTCTATAGAAGTTATTGGGAGGTAGAGTTCAGGTCAATGTCAGAAAGAAATTTATATTGCTAAAGCTGTCCAAAATTAGGCTGAGACACCTTATTAATGATAATAAATTGACTGTCATTGGACATATTTAAACAGAGATTAGAATGAAATTTTATGCTTACTATAGGTAGGATTCATATATAGAATGAAAGGTTTGTGTTTTTTAAAAATAATGCATTGCCCTTCCTAAGAATGGGATTAATTCATAATCATTCCTGAAATATGGAAATGCAGAAAAAATGTAAATTAAAGGGAAAATTCATGTATAATAATACCACTTCTTAGGCGTAATTGTTGCTGATATTTTGGGATGTTTTTAATTTTGCTAGATAACTGCTGGTTAAAAATCTCCCTGTTTTCCTCAGAAACATTTGAAGCACTTCAAAATAAAACATTTGTATGGTAATATTATTAAACATATAGATAAATAAGAATATCAGAAACCACACAATCACAGGAGGTACATTAAAAATTCAAACAAAATCTGGGATAAGGTAACCCCTTGAATTGAGCAGTAAATTGTTTAAAGCTTTCTGGAAGCCAGAGCAAAAAAGGAAAATAGTCTACATTTATATATTTTTTAAAGAATTGTTCTCACTATTGCATTTTTTTTTTTTTTTTTTTTTTTTTTTGAGACAGAGTCTCACTCTGTCACTCAGACTGGAGTACAGTGGCATGATCTCAGCTCACTGCAACCTCCACCTCCTGGGTTCAAGTGATTCTCCTGCCTCAGCCTCCCGAGTAGTTGGGATTACAGCCGCCTGCCACTATGCCCTGCTAATTTTTTGTATTTTTAATAGAGATGGGGTTTCACCATGTTGGCCAGGCTAGTCTTGAACTCCTGACCTTGTGTAATCCCAGAGTGCTGGGATTACAGGCATGAGCCACCGTGCCCAACCTCACCATTGCATTTTAATGCATTTATATTCTCCTATAAATGTATTATATAGACACTGACTTGTGTGATAAAAATATCATCTACTTATACATTAGAATTTAGACTTTCTGTATTTCTCCTTGATAAAAATCAAAAACCTCAAGATCACAAAAGTACTAATTAACAACAGTGTTTCTATAGGAATCTTAGCAATTGAGGTAGGATCCTTTAGCAGTCAAGTAAAGAAATTTGTACATTAATGCCTGGGGTTTTGCATATTTACAAATTTCAGACGCCAGGTGAATGTTGACTTCGCTTGTATTTTATTTCTAGGGTGATGAAGAGGCCAGCCTTGGGTTACCCATAAGCCCCTTCATGGATCGTTCTGCTCCTCAGCTGGCCAACCTTCAGGAATCCTTCATCTCTCACATTGTGGGGCCTCTGTGCAACTCCTATGATTCAGCAGGACTAATGCCAGGAAAATGGGTGGAAGACAGCGATGAGTCAGGAGATACCGATGACCCAGAAGAAGAGGAGGAAGAAGCAGCAGCACCAAATGAAGAGGAAACCTGTGAAAATAATGAATCTCCAAGTAAGTTCTAAAACCTAGTTCTAATGTGTTTTCCCTGGGATTGCTTTCTTACTTTAGATGAATGTTATGCTTCTCATGAAATACAATACTCCAGGTCTACACATCATTTTCCGAGTTTGATTATGGGTAGCTCCCTTCCCCAATATCATAATAATAGAAATTCCAGACTACAGAATCTATGATAATAACACATATGGCACAAAGATGATACAAAGATATCTTCTCCATCATGAAGTTAAAAAAAAAAAAAAAAAGGAATTAAAGCCTAATCTTTAGGGGTATCAGTTTTGGTTCATGGGTTTTTTTTTTTTTTTTTTTTTTTGTATTCTTAGTGGAGACGAGGTTTCACCATGTTAGCCAGAATGGTCTCGATCTCCTGACCTTGTGATCCACCAGCCTTGACTTCCCAAAGTGCTGGGATTACAAGCGTGAACCACCGCGCCCGGCCGCTTCACGTTATCTTAGTGATTTAAAAGTGAAAGAGTTTCAGTTACCGTGAAGAACAATCATAGGTTTTTATTGGCTTCGTTAGGGGAACTCCATGTGAAGAGATAGGTGGTAGTGTTCATTTGTTCATTCAACAGACATTTATTGAGCACCTGCTCTGTGTCAGGCATCCTTCCAGGTACTAGAGATAGAGCTGTGGGGAAAAAAGACAAAAAAAAAAAAAAAAAATCCTTGCCCTTATAGAAATACATTCTAGTGGGATCAGTAGACAATAAGCAAAACAAGTGAGTATATCTATAGTGTGTTAGATACAGTATTATTTACTGTAGTGATAAATACTGAGAAATATGAGAGTAAAAATAAAAGGAGGGAGATATAAAATATTATAGAGATAGGTTAAAATTTTAGGTAAGATAACCAGTGATAGGGAAGATGTAAACAAGGGAAAGATTTGTAAAAATGAAAAGAAAAGGCCTGCAAGAAGTAAGGGAGTGCTCCCTGAGGCTGTATGTGGAAAGAGGATTCCAAAGAGAGAAGAAAGCAACCTGTGCAAACGTCCAGAGGTGTACATTGGGTGGGGTGTTCAGGGAGCAGCAGGAGAACTGGGATAGCCGGAGCAGCAGGGCAGAGGCAGTCGGGAACCAAGCTGTCCAAGGGAGAGAATACAGTCATGGGTTCTTAGTTTCTGTTTCTGGTTGGGCCAGTAAAGCCCCTTCCACATCCCTCTGTTCTGCTTATCACTAGAGACAGAAACTAAAAACCATGGTTTCAGGTGCTGAAAGCCTAAAACAAAACAACACAGAAGAACAGCAACAACAAATAAGTCAGCCTGGACAAGCTTGGAAGATAGGACTCTATGGGTCACGGTAAGAGCTGTGGCTTTTACTCTGAGTAAGATGGGAAATCGTCAGTGGTTTTGAACAGAAGCGTCAGTAGACTCAACTTACATTTTAACTGGACTACTTCAGCTGCTCTATTGAGAATATGCTTGGGATTGGGAAGGGAGCAAGGATAGACATAGGGGGATCAGTTAGGAGACCGCTGAAATTATCCAAGTGAGAGATGACTGTGACTTTGGACCAGGGCAGTAGCAACAGTGACAATGACAACCTATCACATCTGGTAATTGGCTGGAGTGCATCATGTGGCCAATCTAACCTATTTAGCTTAATCAATGATAAAATCATTTTTATTTATGCCTCTAAAGCTACTCTCCTATTTATCCTGTCTTGAAACAAACAGTGACTTATAGCATAATTAGTAAAAATCCATGACCCTTACAATGACATTACACAAATACTATTCCTGTGTTTGTAAGAACATAGTATGTGATTTCTGTTTACCTTTACAGATAAAGTACAATCTTAATATTCTTAAAGTTCTTACCAAAAATACAACCAATGAAAGACATTCTGATCATTTTGTGCCTATTTTTATCACAGTCGGGATAATGCACAACTTGGTTCATTCCAACCATCTTGTAAGCAGATTAACCTTATACTGATCCATTTTGCTCTCATCTAAAGCACCTTGTTGTAGGCACACATAAGCAAACATAAAGAAGTCATTATCAATTATGAACTTATGAGGTAGAATTTTGCAAACTGAACTTTAGGTCAGATCTGGCCTGTTAATTGCTTTTTGTAGAATGGGGGAAAATAAAAGTTGTTTTTCTTCAATATGCTACTGTCAGAGTAATTATATTTTATTTATCTGATGCAAATAAGAAGACTTCCATTAGAAAGTTTGTACTGATCTTGGGATTCAGAGCTAGAAGCCAAGACTTGGATTTCATGGGTTATTCATTCATTTTTTTCACTCAGTAAACACGTATTAGTTTTCTCTTTTTATTTGTTTTCATTTCAAAGAGTCAGGTAGTTTGCTGTCTTACTAAGAATAAGACAGTTTTTCCACTGAATGAAGGTATTGTCGGCTTAGCCTCTGGAAAAGCTTTGTTCCCAGGGGCCCTGACTTACTGCTATTTGAACTCAAACACATGGAAAATATGGACACATAGATCCAGGCATTGGGAATTGAAGGACCCAGGCCAGAAGATTTAACAGGCTCAACTTGTCAACCTAGCCTTTAGCAGCAAATACTACAACCACATATTGCATTTCTTTCTGTTCTGAAGGGTTGGGTTGTCATACCTTCCCATTTTTATCAAGTTCACTAAAGCAGGAATGAGAGTTTTTGGGGTTCTGTTTGCCTTCCAAAAGTCCACATTATATTACAATTTAAAAATATCCCATCCACAATGATTTCATATGTAGCTTTGGAAATAATATCTTTAAAGTATTTCTTTACAACCAAGAAAATGGTAAATGTGGAGCAACATTAGTATTTACTAAATATTGGCCACGTAGAGTAACGGAACTTTAGAAATGAAGGGGGAATCGATGCTTATCAGTTCAGCTGCCTCACTTTACAAAAGATTAAACTAAGGCTCAGAAATTTAAATAACATCGCAAGGTTGTAGAACCAGAAAGGGAACCTAGGTTTCTTAATTTTTAACTTCAATGCATTTGGCTCTTAGTAATTTTAATTTCAGAATTCATATTGGCTAAAATGGTTACCTTGACTTTGCCTAATACTTAGGTTTCAGAAAAAATAAATATGCACAGATAAGTTCTGTAGTTTGTAAAACTTGGAGATGTCCCAGGAAACACAGAATAAAATGATTCAATATGGTATCCTAGGAAAAGAAGGTTTTTATCCCACCTTATAATTAAATCTGAAAGATTCCTACAGCGAACTAAGAGGTTTCTAATGAAGTACTAAGCTGCATTTAGAATTTGAGCAATGAAAGGCTCTTTGTTCTCCTTTCAAAAGGTTCCAGTACTGAACAATTTGGCTTCCAATACAGACATATTTTAGACCACCTGCGGACTCTAATCTACGCAAATTTATTTGGTACAAACTTTCTTCTACGTCACCTTCTTATTCAGTATAATTCCAGAGAGGTTTATTGCTAACATTTAACAGTATTAATAAGAGGACGGCTGCTCTCAGGGGGACTGCCCTGGAAGGGAAAAAGAGGAAAATTGAGCTTTTGTTAGCTTCTTCACTATGAATGCACTTCCATCAATGCATATAACTTTAAGATGAAATAATCACCTTGAACTGAAGAGTGTTTGCTGCAACCATGATTCAAACCTGTCCATCACACAGGGGTCCTCTGCAACTCTCTTGATTCAAACGATTAGGTTAAAAAGTATATTAACATTTAAAAATTTCTCAATGGAATTTGATTTATAACAAAAACAAAGTAGAAATAGACAAGTAGAGGTAGAAGAGTAATTTTTAATTTGCTTTTAAAAAATCTGATGTATTAATGTATTTTATTGACTTTCATAGAAAGAATTCAAATTTTTTTAAATTGCAATTATATCTACTGCCCTTGTTAGGAAGCTTTCAAATGGAAGAATTGATATAAGGGGTCATAGCCTGTGGCCCATACACTTTTACCTGTGTCACAGTTCTTCAAACTCTGCTTGGAATGCTGCTAGCCCCTTTTCATCCAGTGTATTTAATTCTCATTACTTACATCCAGCCCAGGTACCAGGTCCTTTAAAAAAAATTATACCTAATTTTCCACAGTTTGAGTCTTTTGTGTTGCCGTGGTTTGATGTATCAAAGATAAATTGCACCAGACATTTGTTAAAAATGGCAACGAAGGCTTTATTCAAGACTCTTGTAATAGGGGAGACAGATTGAACTCTGTTGAAGCAAAAGGCGGGAGAATTGTTAAATGCTGCTGTAAGCTAGTGAAAAAGTGCTGGAGGACGTTATGGGAGCGTTGGCTAGTATGATTAAGTCACCTGTTAATTGGTACTTACTAAAGTTAGGCTCCTCCCTCCCCACAGAGACTAGGAGATAGGCCTGCCTGCTCGCCTACCTTTCTTCTTTCCTTCCATCCTTCCTTCCTTCATTGAAATCTTTTTTAAATTTTAAAATTTAAATTTTATTTTGTAAGATTGTAAAGCTAGTTAGAGCCTGGAAGAAGATTTACCTATATTCCAGAGGGACAGAGAAATAATTTGCTGGTTCAGGTTTTCTAAAGTAAATGCTCTGACAAGAGGGAGGTCAGGGTCCTATGGTCTAGAAGTCTAAAATTGAGTTAAACTGAGAGAAATGGCAAGCCCGTCTTGGTCACAAGAATATATCTGTCATAAAACATAGCACTTGTATTTCAGTTTTTGTCTTCTTGGCACGCTCTCTTACAGAGAGAGTATAAGCTCCTTTAAGGCAAGCTCTGAGCTTAATTGATCTTTGTTTCCAAAGTATCCTGGAAAGTATTTGCCAGTTAGTTTGAGTCTATCTCATGCAGAAATGATGAATATCATAAATATATTTTTTTCCTTTTGACTCTGCCTGTGTTCATTTCCCTCGGCACTCATTCAATTTAATAATTGTCATTCTGTGTCCATATGGTTCAAAACTAATTCAAGATAATTTAATGTCCTTTTTCTGCACTATGTTTTAAAAATTAATTTTGTTGTTCTGTAGAGTACAAGAAATTTCTGCAGGGCATTGTAATAAAACTGTTAAAA